TTGATTATTTTATTTATTTTGGGGATTATACTATAATCACATTATTTTCTCCTTCCTTTTCCTCTGTCTAAATCCTCTTATATAAACATAAAGTACCACTAAACATCATGGTGCATAACTTTAATCTCAGCGTCCAGAAGGCAGTGGCAGGTAGATTTCTGTGGGCTCAAGTCAATCTGGGCTACATAGTGAGTTCCAGGACAGCTAGACCTACATAGAAATCTTGACTCAAAAACCAGACCAAACCAAACCAAACACCAAACCAGACCAAACCAAACCAAACCAAACCAAACCAAACCCAAACCCAAACCCAAAACCAAAAATAAATTTAAAAACTCCCCAAAACTAAACCACTACCACAACAAAAAACTCAAAAAAGAAAGAAAGAAAGAAAGAAAGAAAGAAAGAAAGAAAGAAAGGAAGGAAGGAAGGAAGGAAGGAAGGAAGGAAGGAAGGAAGGGGCCGGGCGGTGGTGGCGCATGCCTTTAATCCCAGCACTTGGGAGGTAGAGGCAGGCGGATTTCTGAGTTTGAGAGTTCGAGGCTAGCCTGGTCTACAGAGTGAGTTCCAGGACAGCCAGGGCTACACAGAGAAACCCTGTCTCGAAAAAACAAAACCAAAACAAAACAAAAAAAAAAAAAAAGAAGGAAGAAAGAAAAAAACCAAACAAACCACAAAGCACCACTTTGGGTGAGAACCCAAACACCACCAAACATCAACAACATACCAGCAATCAACACACACATTTCAATAGTGTCTTTAAGTATCAAAGGCCTCAGTTCTCCAAACAAAAGTCACAGGCTGAATGAATAGATCAAGAAACAAAATCCATCTCTCTGTTTTCTACAAGAAACACATCTTAGCTTTAAAGATTGGCTCCATCTTAATGTAAATGGCTAGAAAAACTATTCCAGTCAACTGGGACCAGAAAGCAAGCAGACATCATGATCTGACAAAATAAACTTCAAACTTAATATAAGCAGAAGAAATGAGAGATACTTAATCCTAATCAAGGGAACAGTTAACCAAGAAGACTTTACTATCCTAAACATATGTGTACCAAACTCATAAAAAATATACTACAGGATTTAAAGGCACAGATTAACATCAACCCATTAATAGTGGATGATTTCAATAATACCCCATTTCTCCATCATCTTAACAAAAAATAAACAGAGAAACATCAAGAAAGAATAACTGACATCATATGTCAAATGGACTTAACAGATAGCTACAGAATATTCCACCCAGACATCAAAGAATACACATTCTACTCAGAGGCACAAGGAAGCTTTTCCAAAATAGACCACACCCTGGGACACAAAATAAATCTTTACAAATTCAAAAGGAATGAAATAATTCTGTGCGGGGCGCGCGTGTAGTGGTCTCGCCGGCAAAAAACATACACACACGCGCGCACACACACACATCACACACACGCCAGAATCCTTCCGTATGAACACGTTTATTTCCCCAAAACCAAGATGGTGGAAGAAGACACCTCCCAGCCCTGGGAAAAGCCCTTATATACCCTAGAGCTGCGTAATCATCTCTGATTGGCTGTATACTCGTAGCGCGCCAATCGTCGTGGGATGGGCTTAGCTTTGGCGGGCTTACCATGGCACATGCGCACTTTATTTGTTTACTAGGAAGAACTATGGCTGACAGCGCCACCTAGCGATGGCGGACTTTGCCAGCTCTCGTCGCGGCTCCCAACATAATTCCTTGTATCCTATCTGGACATAATGTAAAAAAACTAAAAACTGGCAGAAAACATGTCTCTAGTGAATACATAAGCTCATTGAGATTAAACAACTTATTACTGAGTGATGAATGGCTCAAAGAAGAAACTAAGAAAGAAATAAAAAATGAAAATGAAAACAATACAGAAAAACCTGTAGGACACATTGAAAGCAGTCCTACAAGGAAAATTTGTAGGTCTAGGTGCCTACAGTAAAATAAGATAAGATAAGATAAGATAAGATAAGATAAGATAGATTGCAAATAAATAACTTAATGATGCCGTTGGAGAAACAACAACAAACCAAATCCAAACCCAGTTGTTGGTAAGAAATAATAAAAATCAGAGTGTAAACCAATGACATAGAAACAAAGAAAACAATAGAAAGAATCATTGAATCTGAGCTGGTATTTTGAGAAGATAAACAAAATCCATAGACCAGTGGCTCAACTAATTAAAAGAAAGAAAGAGGACCCAAGTTAACAGACTCAGGAATAAGCAGGGAAATATTGTAATGGACACCAAGGGAATTCAGAATATTATAAGGTAATGATTTAAAAACCAATACTTCATTAAGCTAAAAACCAAGACGGAGCCATCAACCTAGACAGAACAATAACAAATGAGGAGATTGAGACAGTAATGAAAAGCCTTCCAGCTGAAAAACACAGTCCATGCTCACATGGATTCACGGTAGAATTCTTTTAGTAATGATCTACGCCCATTTTTTTCTTAAACTATTTGAAAACCAGAAATAGAAAGAACACTCCCAAATTCTAACAAAGCCTGTATCACTCAAATACCCAAACCAGGAAAAGGTACAAGAAAGAAGAAAACAACAGGCCAATATCCCTGATGAACACAGACTCAAAAATGCTTACTGAAACATTACAAATAAAATATAGGCATATATCAAAAAGATTTTACACTATGACCAAGTTGGCTTTATTCCTGAAATTCATGGATATCCAACATATACAAGTCAATAAATGAAATAAATCATATAAATGGACTTAAAGTCAGAAATCACATGGACATCTCAATAGATGCAGAAAAAGCCTTTGTCAAAATCCAAAATACCTTCATGATAATGTAGGTCATAGAAAATGTAGAGCTAGAAGAAACATACGTTAACATAATAAAAACTATGGATGAGACACTCACAGCCAACATCATCTTAAATAAAGAAAAGCTTGAAGCAATGCCACTGAAGACAGGAACTAGAGAGGGATGTCCACTTCCCGGCTTCTTTTCAACACTGGGTTTGAGGTACCAGCTGAAGCAATAAGGCAAGAGAAGGAAATTAAAGGCAGACAATTAGGGAAAGAAGTTAAATGATCCTTATTTGCAGATGACATGATACTATGCATTAGCAATCCCAAAATTTTTACCAGAAAACTTCTATAAATAACAAATTTGTTAGTTGCAGATACTTAAAACCTACACACATATACCTATAGCTATAAGAAAGGTTAATTTGTATATTAGGCCCAGTAAGAGACTCACAGTGTGTTACTTGCTTTTCTAAAATACAAAACGCCTGACAAGAAGCTATTTAAGGGTGGAAGACTTCATTTTGGTTTATAGGTCAAGGAGATATAGTCCATCAGTGTTGGGGAAGAGTGTTGGCAGGAGCAGTACATTGTTGGTCACAGTACTTCCAGGGTCAGGAACTAAAGGTCGCTGGATATGTGTGTGCAGCTCCTTTTTTTTTTTTGTTCCGTCCAGGACTTCATTACCAATAGTGCTGTCCACATCCAGGTCAAGTCGCTTTGCAGTTAAACCTCTCTCAGAACTAGAACCAGGAATGTGTTTCCATGATAATTCTTAAATCAATCAAGTTGACAATGAAGATTAATCATCATAAGTAGGAAAGAACTGTATGTCTATTTGCCGCCCTTTAAAATATACAAACATGTAACTATTACATTCTCACATTTCTAATCATGAAAAATTATATATATAAACAATCACTATCAAATCTATCTATCTATCTATCTATCTATCTATCTATCTATCTATCTATCTGAATATGACTGTGCCCTGATAATCCTATCAATATATCAGATAATCAAATCATGAGGAGTGAGTTCATTCCTTCTGAATTTGTAAAGATTTATTTATTTTGTGTCCCGGCGTATGGTCTATTTTAGAAAAGTTCATATATATATATAATTTTATTCTTGGTCCTCGATGAAGTAGATTGCAGAATTCTTTATACCTATCAATTATATATATAATATATACATATATATTATGACCGATTATATATATATGTATATATATATATATAATTTTAGTATTTAATACATATAGTATTTTAGTCTTGGTCCTTAATAAAACAGAATACATAATTCTTAATATATTATACTATTTATTTTCCTATGGCCACCTAATGCTCGGTTATTTATTAATACTATGTATACAAAGCATCTCTGCAAGCCATCGGGAACAATCTGAGTCCCAGCTATTCATTTGCATTTCTAGAGTGACTGCTAGTGGAATCCAGTAAGCCTTACTTAGCATCTGTTCAGGGTAGGAGTACACAAGATGCACCCCACACTCCCGCCTCCATTAAGAACTCTGAGAACCCAGTGTAATCCAGGGCAGTTACTTTGAGACTCTTAGACTGGAACTGGGGCCAGCAAACTACCAGACACATGGACTGTTGGAGTATTGTGGTATAAGAAATTCTGTAACCCGAGTCATAGATGAGCAAGGTGAGACCTCCCAGGTCCGTGTAGAAGGTGCCAGAAATGCTCAGACCTGGACTGTCTTGGCAAGATGGCTTAGGCATAGCGTGGATGGAGACACCCACAGGCTTTTGTGAAGTAGTGGTGGTGAATGGTCTCTTGGGAACTGGAAACTGGACTGTTTAGCATGCTCACTGAAGGTCCTTGAGGTTCTTTCAACAGGCATTATGGGTCTGCTCAGTACCACCGTTCTGTCTGAGAGTAGAAAATTTCCACATTCTAACCCTAATCCTAACTTTGACGACCTTAATTCTTTCTATTCCTATCAACCCTAACCATAACCTTTGTAGAGGGTGAGGCCTTCATGCTTGTCTCTGAAACTGGCCAAACACTGCTCAGAAATCTTCACTCCGACTATTACATTTAAATAGGATCTGTTTTTGGTGGTGGTGGTGGTGGTGGGGCAACGCTTTGCGCCTGCGCCTGCGCTGCGCAGCAGCTGCCCACGCGGTCCTCTAGAGTTTACCCGCGCTGCGTACTGCGCAGGCGCAGTACGTAACAGCCTGGAAGCTGCTGTGGCAGCTGAGGAAGTGGAGCAGTATGGCCACCAGACCGCAGCCGTTGGGTGTGGAGCCCGAGGGATCAGCAGACCTGCTCCACGGGCCTGAGGGGGCCAGAGGTAGTGGTTGAAGGGTGCCTGGGTGGGCCTGGTGAGCTGGCGGGGTGAGCGGACCGCCTGTCGAAGTCTGAGGAGATCCTTGTGGGTGGGCGCGAACCCCTGGAGGGCCCTGACTGGGATTGCTGACAGAGATCTTCACTGAGGAGAAGCCAGCTTGCTGTCTCCCTGTGATGCCAGGCCTAGTGTGGGGTTGTTGTCGGTCACACACCTGTCACCTTCAGAGCGGGCCTGCACCAGGGCCTGTGGCACCACGCCTCAAGTCCTGTGACCGTACTGAGCTGGAGTCGCCCTTTTGCTGTCCAGAACTTGATGTCATCTCAGCGCCCCTGCCATGGGGGTGCTGGGACCGCATCCGAACGAAACTACCGTTCTCAGAACTTTTCTGCACTTTTCTGTGTTTGGGGCGGTAGAACGACATTTTTATTGTGATAAATTTAAGCTTATACAAAAGCGTAGAGGAAGGTGGGCTTACGCTTTGACTCTACTGCCCAGCTTTGATGTTTATGATTGTTTGTCAGTCCTCTGCCATCCCCCATCACTCAGTTTTCTGTTTTATGACCGACCACCTCAGACAACAGTGTCACCCATAAATGTCCCATATATATCTAGAGGACAAGTACTCCAGAAAAATAACAATTGCCACAGCTATATAACAGCACCCACAATTCCTCAATCACATAAAGTATCTGGTTGCTTTTAAAAGTCTATTGTTTTTTATAGTTATTTTTAAATAAAAGAAAGCATTTAATTGGGGGCTTGCTTACAGTTTCTACAGGGTTAGTTCATTTGTATCATGGCAGGAATCATGGTAGCAGGCAGGCCATTAGGCAAGCATAGTGCTGGAGCAGTAGCTGAGGGCTTACATCTTTTTAAAAAAATATTTACACACACACACACACACACACACACACACACACAATCAATCCAGCTGTTTTCCCCCTGCCCCCGTTCCACAGTTCCTCATCCCCTCCCCCCCAGAGGATGCTTCCCCTCACCAGGGTTTCCTTCTCCCTGGGGCCTCAAGTCTTGAGGATTAGGCACTTCTCCCACTAAGGCCAGACCAGGCCTTCTTCTGCTATATATGTGCCAGATGTGCCAGGAGCCTCAGACCAGGCCCTCTATGCTTCCTGGTTGGTGCTCAGTCTCTGGGAGCTCCCTGGGATCTGGGTAAGATGAGACTACTGGTTTTCCTACGGGGTGGCCCTCCACTTCAGCTTCTTCAGTCCTTCCCCTAAATCAACCATGGAGGTCCCCAACTTCAATCCAATGATTGGGTGTAAGTATCTGTGTCAGTTTCAGTCAGCTGCTGGTAGGGCCTCTCAGATGTAAGCCCATTATAGCATCATTAATAGTGTCAGGCTTTGGTGCCTCCCCAGCCCCCACCATGAGATGGATCCCAAGTTGGGCTGGTCATTGGACTGCCTTTCCTTCAGTTTCTTCTCCAGTTTTGTCCCTGCAGTTCTTTTAGACAGAACAATTCTGGGTCAGAAATTTTGACTGTGGGTTGGTAACCCATCCCCCAACTTGAGTCTTGGTCCACTGAAAGTGGACTCTTGGGGTTCTCTATCCCCACTGTTGGGCATTTCGGGTAAGGTCACTCCCATTGAGTCTTGAGAGTCTCTCACATCCCAGGCCTCTGGTACTTTCTAGAGGGACCCCTCTCCTCCCACCCATCAAGGCTGCATATTTCCATTCATTCTGCTGGTCCTCTGGGGTTCTTTTGTCCAACCCCCCCATACCTGATTCTGTTCCCCCTTTCCTCTCCCCCTCCCCTCTTCCACTCAGATCCCTCCCTCCATCTGCCTCTTGTGATTGCTTTCTTCCCCTCTTCTAAGTGGGATTGAAGTATCCTCACTTGGGCCTTTCTGGATGTTAAACTTTTTGCAGTCTGTAGGTTGTATCTTAGGTATTCTGTACTTTTGGCTAATATGTACTTATTAGTTAGTACATACCTTGCATGTCCTTTTGAGTCTGGGTTACCTCATTCAGAATATTTTCTAGTTCCATCCATTTGCCTGCAAAATTCATGATATCCTCATTCTTAATAGCTGAGTAGTATTTCATTATGTAAATGACCACATTTTCTGTACCCGTTCTTCAGCTGAGGGACATCTGGGTTGTTTCCAGCTTCTGGCTATTACAAATAACATAGTGGAGCACGTATCCTTCTGATGTGGTAGGGCATCTTTTGCAAATATGACCAAGAGTGGTGTAGCTGGGTCTTCAGGTAGATCTATTTCCAATTTTTCTGAGGAACCTCCAGATTGATTTCCAGTGGTTGTACCAGTTTGCAATCCCACCAGCAATGGAGAAGTGTTCCTCTTTCTCCATATCCTTGCCAGCATCTGCTGTTGCCTGAGTTTTTGATCCTAGTCATTCTGCTTGGTATAAAGTGGGATTTCAGGGTCGTTTTGATTTGCATTTCCCTGATGATTAAGGACTTTGACAAGTTCTTTAAGTGCTTCTCAGCCATTTGGGTTTCTTCTGTTGTGAATTCTCTGTTTAGCTCTGTACCCCATTTTTAAATTGGTTTGTGTTTTTGGAAGTTAATTTCTTGAGTTCTTTATATATTTGTGGATATTAGCCCTCTATCAGATGTGGGGTTAAAGAATATTTTTTTCCCAATCTGTAGGCTGCCGATTTCCCCTATTGTCTGTGTCTTCTGCCTTACAGAAGCTTTTCAGTTTCATGAGGTCTCATATATCAATTCTTGATCTTAGAGCGTGAGCCATTGGAGTTCTGTTTAGGAATCGTTCCTGCCCCTGTGCCAATGAGTTCGAGGCTCTTTCCTACTTTCTCTTCTATTAGAATCAGTGTATCTGGTTTTATGTTGAGGTCCTTGATCCACTTAGACTTGAGTTTTGTGCAAGGTGACAGATATGGATCTATTTCATTTTTCTACATACCAACTGGCAGTTAGATCAGCACCATTTATTGAAGATGCTTTTTTTTTTCATTGTAAGTTTTTTGCTTCTTTGTTGAAGATCAACAAAGTCCATAAGTGTGTAGTTTTTATTTCTGGATCTTCAATTCTATTCTATTATCCAACCTGTCTGTCTCTGTACCAATGCCATACATTTTTGTAAAAATCACTATTACTCTGTAGTATAGCTTTAGGTCATGGATGGTGATTCCCCTAGAAGTTCTTTTATTGTTGAAAATTGTATTCACTGTCCTGGGTTTTTTGTTTTTCCATATGAAATTGAGAATTGCTCTTTCCATGTCTTTGAAGAATTATGTTGGTATTTTGATGGGGATTGTGTTGAATCTATAGATTGCTTTTGGTAGGATGGCCATTTTTACTATGTTAATCCTTCCAATCCATGAGCATGGGAGATCTTTCCATCTTCTGAGGTCTTTAATTTCTTTCTTCAGAGACTTGAAGTTCTTGTCATACAGATCTTTTATTTGTGTGGTTAGAGTTACACCAAGATACTTTTTATTATTTGTGACTATTGTGAAGAGTGTTCTTTCCCTATTTACTTTCTCGGCCTGTTTATCATTTGTATAAAGGAAGGCACTGATATGTTTGAGTTAATTTTGTATCCATCTACTTTGCTGAAGATGTTTATCAGCTGTAGAAGTTCTCTGGTAGAATTTTTGGGGTTGCTTATGTATACTATCATATCATCTGCAAATAGTGTTACTTTTATTTCTTTGACAATTTGTATCCCCTTGATTTCCTTTTGTTGTCTTATTGCTTTAGCTAGAATTTTGAGTACTATATTGAATAGTTAGGGAGGAAGTGGGCAGCTCTGACTTATCCCTGATTTTAGTGGGATTGCTTCAAGTATGTCTCAATTTACTTAATATTGGCTGTTGGTTTGATGTATATTGTTTTTATTATGTTTAGGTATGGGCCTTGAGTTCCTGATATCTCCAATACTTTTAACATGAAGGGGTGTTGGATTTTCTCAAAGGTTTTTCAGCATCTAATGAGAAGATCATGCGATTTTTTTTCTTTGAGTTTGTTTATATAGTGGATTATGTTGATGGATTTTCATACATTGAACCATCCCTGGATCCCTGGGAAGAAGCCTACATGATGATGGTGAATGATTGTTTTGATGTATGTGTTCTTGGATTGGGTTTGTGAGAATTTTATTGAGTATTTTTTGCGTTGATATTCGTAAAGGAAATTGTTCTGAAGTTCTCTTTCTTCATTGGGTCTTTAGGTGGTTTAGGTATCAGTGTAACTGGCTTCATAGAATAAATTAGGTAGTGTTCCTTCTGTTTATATTTTGTGGAATAGTATGAGGAGTGTTAGTCTTTGAAGGACTGGTAGAAGTCTGTACTAAAACCATCTGGCCCTGGACTTTTTTTGGTTGGGAGTTTTTTTTTAAATTTTTTTTATTGGATGTTTTATTTACATTTCATATGTTGTCCCCTTATCCCATCCCCCACCCACCCAGGAACCCCCTATCCCCTCACCCCTCCTCCTTCTTCTCTGTGGATGTAACCCCCCTACTCCCCCTACTCCCTACCCTCCTACTCCCACCTCCCCACCCTCAAAATTCCCACCCCCTGGGGCATCCAGCCTTCATGAGGTCAAGTATCTCTTCTTCCACCTATGCCCAGCAGGGCCCTCCACTCTTACATATTCAGCTGAAGCCCTGGATCCCTCCCTAAGTGCTCCCAGGTTGGTGGTTTAGACCCTGGGAGCTGTGGTTGGTTGGTATTGTTGCTCTCCTCATGGGGCCACAAACCCTTTCAGCTCCAATGGCCTTCACTCTGACTCCTCCATTGGGAACCCCATTATCAGTTCAATGGCTAGTTGTGAGCATCTGCCTCTGAATATGTCAGACTCTTGAAGACCTCTGAGGAGACATCCATATCAGGCTCTTATCAGCATGCACTTCCTGACTTCCACATCAGCATCTACCTTTGGTGACTGCACATGGGATGGATACTCAGGTGGAATGGTCTTCAGATGGCCCCTCCTTCAGTTTCTGTCCCTCACTTTGTCTCCATATTTGCTCCCTTGAGTATTTTGTTGCTCC